AGCCAAAAAAAAAAAAACGAAACTAACCGAGTCCCGGATAAAGCGCTGGAACGGCCCCTGCCTAGGAAAGGTCGATACATACTGCAGCAATCAGTGCACGGGCTCTGCTGTTACAGTATAGTACTGTAGGTAGGTCATGTTTCTCGATAAGGTCGGGTCGGGTTGGGTTGGGTAGGTTGGCCCTGCTCGATACTTGATCTCAAAGTACCCATCAATCGACCATGACAGTAACCATCCGTGATGGCTATTCCCAACAGGGATTAAGTCATCAGCAAGCGCCTGTGATGTGATAGCGTGGCGTCAGCAGACGGTTCGTGGCGCAGGCGGTAACGCTAGTGCTTTGGTTGGCCAAACCAAGGCCTAGACCACGTCGCGTTTCTCCTTCCCTGCTGGGTACTGTAGTTGGCGTTTGAGAGGCCTGCTCAGCGGGAGTACTTGCCTCGGATGTACACCTGTTCCTCCTCTCCTCACTGACGAGGTCGGGGGTGAGGCGAGGCGAGACGAAAGTGAAGGTACGATACGATTCATGAGCCAGCACGGTCGCTCTAACCACCCGATATCTAATTAACATTTCGCCAATAGATCTATCCGGGTTTTGTTTTCTTTGGTTCTCCCAAAAGAGAAACTCAAAATTCTTTCCGTAACAACTCTCTGCGTCGACATCATCATATAGTCAAACGAGTTTCCGAAGGACTCCACCTCCCAATTACGATCCGCGACCGATACGATACGACACGACTTTGTCGAATTGGGACCCGGCTCCATCTCACAAGCTTGCGGAGAACCAGGGACCGCGGTCGCCCGTGCTACCTACGGTACCGTACAGTAGCAGGTTCAGTGGAGAGGCTCACGTTCACATCAGGCCCCAGCCAGTCTCGTACAATACCCACGTATTCGTACCTTACTCTCGCTTCCTCTCTTTCTTCTCATTACACATCTGCTGCCAGAGACTGGCAACAGCAGTCAAATCAACCCAAATCGAATATCCCCAAATCAGATCAGATCAAATCAAACAAAATAAGCCACAGCATTTCATTTCTCGACCCTGCCTAACAATCCACTGGCAGCTTCTCTTTAGCTGTGGAACGTGGCTCGCCCATTTTCAAGCCCAAGGTCTCACTCGCTCGCCGCTCGGATCTTTGTCTGCCATCTCCCATTTGGCTCCCCGTCACTCGTCGGGTCCGGAGGATCCGTCTTCTCTTCATTCCCAAGTTCATTCTCTTCCTTCCCCTAGGGCTTGAGTCTCGCAACAAGTCTGTCTGTTGACTTGTCGTCCCGTATCGACCTGTCACATCAGGTCAGGTCACGTCTCTCCGGGCCGAGAGCATAAGACGTACCTATTCAACCGACACAATATCTACGCGCCCGATTACAATGGATTCGTATGTTGCCATCTTTCCCTTTTGAATTGACTCAGGATCCCTCCACCTCCGCACATTTGCACCTCCTATTGTTCTGGCAGCACACCTGCTCAACTGAACTATTGCCCAAATTCGGCCACTTTCATATTTTACTGGCTTAGAGCTTACGCGTTGTAGATTTATTCCAATGTCTGCTGCCGCCGCCGGCTGGGGTCAGCCTTTGGCAACGAACTCGCCAGCGTCTCGACGATCATTAGGTCACTTCCGGTCTCTCTCCTCCATCGCAGCTACCCCTAGCTACCACCCTCGAACCCCGTCGCTCACTCCCGACCATACACCGATAAAGTCCTCTTCCTCGACGCATTTGCCTCTGGGTCTAAAAAATGCATCTGCAGATTTCGGCGACGAAATGAGCACCATACCAGACCCCCGAAGCCGTGCCATCAGCCCAGCTGATGACAGTGGTATTGTGACTCCCAATCACCATCCTGATCTCAATGACGAAGTTGCCACCCTTAGCAACAAACTTATCAATGCAATCAACCACCAGACGATATTAGACGACTCCTTATCTGCTGCTCGCCACGAACTTGATGCCGCACGCGATCGTATTCGCGATTTGGAAACCCAGAATGCTTCGCAACGTGAAATGCTGGCAGGTGACGTATGGGTTCGCAAACATACTGTTGAGGCTGAAAAGAAGGTTTGGCAGTCTAAAATAGCTGCAGAACGCCAAAAGCGTCTCGACACGGAAATGGAAAAGAAGAAGATCGAGCAAGAGCTCGAAAATCTTACAGCCGCATTATTCGAGGAGGCAAACAAGATGGTTATCGCTGCTAAGGAGGAGGCCAAAACCGACCACGAGGCCTTGCAGCGCAAAAACGACCAACTCAAGTCCCAGCTGGCCGACACAGAGAGCATTCTCAAGTCACAACAGGAGCAACTTGTTGAGCTCAAGCACGTAATGGAACATATGGCCGCTGGGCGAGAGGAACACATCAACCCTACTGCTCCCTCTTCTCCTGGATTAGCGAAACCTGATACTCGAGATGACAGACGATCTTCCACTGAAGAGCCGGTTCCTTCATTATGGGGCGCCGGCACTGTCGTCGAACCTTGTCACCCGATGAGCTTCTCCCATCTTATTCAGCCTGTACTGCGAACCGATCTTGCTTCCTACGATGACTTTGTGAGCCTGACACGAATCTCTCGAAATCGCGCTAGCAGTCGGGTGTCCTCAGGCTCTGTAAGCGCCCTGAATGCGCTGACAGGGTTTGGCCTTGGTGGTTCGATATCAAGTGCACACCCCTCGAATGCATCGACTACTTCGCTCGGCACTCCCATCCCTGGACCCGGAAGTGCACCTCAGTCACCGAATACACCAGCCTCGACTATCAGCGCTGCTTCGAACGCTTCCGCCACTCCTTTGCCAAGCCTGAAGGAGACAAAGTTCTACAAACGGGTTTTGGCAGAGGATATCGAACCCACTCTTCGGCTGGATATGGCGCCAGGCCTGTCCTGGCTGGCTCGCAGATCAGTCATCGCCTCTATCGCTGATGGATCTCTAGTTGTTGAGCCTGTGCCGACGACTGGGTCTCTCGTGGCGTTGACTAAGCCACAGTTTTACCCATGCTCCTTGTGTGGTGATTCCCGTAAAGATCCTGAATATCTTCGTAACCACCGATTCCGAACAAGCGAGACCGACTCTGCTCAACGGCACCCTTTATGCAAGTATTGTCTTACTCGTGTGCGCTCGACATGCGATTTTCTAGGCTTTCTGCGCATGGTTAAAGATGGCCATTGGCGAGCAGATAACGAGGATCACGAGAAGGCTGCTTGGGAAGAGAGTGTGCGACTCAGGGAACAGATGTTTTGGTCTCGCATTGGCGGAGGTGTCATTCCCAGCGTTCCGGTGCCAATCTCCGTCGACATGGAAAAGAGCCCTCGCAACAGCCACGATGGCAGTATAAGGTCGGATCATCTCGAAGTTCCCGGATTCCAAACCCCACCCACAACAATGGAGCGAACACATGGCGCTATGAACAAGACTGGATCGATCGAAGAACCGCATACACCCCCTATGCAAACTGACGGAACAACAAGCGTTCGTACTTCTGTCCAGTCTCTCGAAGTGAAGAGTGCCTCAGGATCAGAAGAAACGAAGCGATTGTCTCTCACAATCCCAACTTCTGATTAATAGCACAAATTCTCTCAAGACCACCTCGGTGTTGGCAATTTCGACATCATGATGGATCTTTTGTATTACTATGTATATTATTCCCGTCTTCAGGATTACGCGCATTGCATTTATTTGTATTTTGGGTTGCGTCCTATGGCACTGCTAGTTTATGGCTGGGTACAGCAAGTTATCACGGAGCCGAAGGATGGGCACGGAAGGATTTGCTCCGGTTCTTCTTTTATTGAAGGGATGACGTTACTGCACGGAATTTGGATGGAAGAAGGAAAGGAAACTGGCCGGTTGCTTACAGGGTGCTTGAGATCATATTTCACCGGCGTTTAACGGGAGCATGCGCATTATTCAATTGGAACGGCGCAACGATATGGGAAATGGGGTTTTTGAGATGACATATTTTCATTTGTCCTTTGTCCAGCGTCACGAATTGGTTGCTGATTTGCGCAGCAAAAAGAAAATCGCAAACTATAGGCATGCATTCGCTTTCTACAAACTTATTAGATTACTTACGGCCGTCAAGCATGCCCTCTGGCGACGCCAATAGTTGTAGTAGTAATAGATATGATACCAACCCTTGCCATCTGACTTCCCAGCATTGGGGCTGCTGATGCTTTTGGGTGACCCAGGTCGACAACGGTATAATCCATCTTCACTGAAAGACCAACAATTGCATTGAAGAACGTCAAGTTTTTCGCAAGCGTTACCGAGTCAGCCCGATTTCGCAGCCATTATCCATATATAACTGACAGTCTGCAGCCAGAATCACTCCTACTTGTTCGATCATATCACCATTATATTGCTTATCGTGCTGGAAGTGGGACAAAAGTGAACATGAAAATTGTATTATATGAGATTTGTGTGTGCATCACTACCAATATCGTACCAATGCCACAGTATTACTCTCGACATATGCCAACAAATGAGAATACGTCAAAGTTTGACGTCCTAGTTCTGGTTTGGTGTAGCCTCCCCTCCTTCTTTTTGATAGTGTTTGTTTTCCATGTTGATTTGAGACATGGATCCCGGCTTTCAAGCCTTTGCATCCAGACTAGAAAAGATTTTCCCATCCTCCATAAGTCATAAGTAATGAGTACATGATGTTACAGGGTGCAGCCAGACTGAAATCTGGTGTAGGCGCACAGGAGGATCTGTTGTTGGCTGAGTCATGTATATATATGACTAGAGTAGAGTGAGCCGGTTAAAGCTCATCATTAACGGTAGCATCCTGTTGGTTCTCGCTGGCAGGCTTGGCCTTGACCTCCTCGGCCTCCTTCTCGCCATCCTTGCTGGCGGCAGCGTCTTGAGGAACGGCCGCTTCTTCGACGTTGCCCTTGACAGTCTCGCTGTTGACACCTTCAACATCAGGGTGAGGAGGGGCAACACCGGCGCCGAGGTTCTGGTCCCAACCTTCGGCGGGTTCCTCGACTTCGTTGCCCTGCTCATCAACGACGCGGGTTTTAGTTTCATACTTGGTCTTAAACTCAACCTTGCCCTCAAGGGCCTTCACCTCCTCGGGATCAAGAAGGTTACCGTCCTGGTCGCGATATTCAACCTTCTCCTCCTTGGCAACCACCCGATGCTCCACATGGGACTGATCAGGAGGAGGAGGGGCTCCAGAAATAACAGCTTCCTCTTGTTGTTGAGCCACAGGAGCTTCCTTATTAGGCTCTTCCTTTTTGACTGCTGCAGTTGTGGGAACGACTGAAGAGCTAATTGATGGGACCTCGCTATACTTGTCATACTGTCCATCGTGTTAGTGACTGCTCATCCCGTGTCCAGATGGCTTAAAACTTACACTATCGTAAAAAGTATTGCAATCAAAGTCCCAGGTGCTGAAGAGCTTGACGCGCTTGCAATCCGCCTTAGTCCAAGGGCTGCCGTATGCAAGAGGAGAATAGAGGGTGAAGACGGCAGCCGAGAGAACAAGGAAAGAGACAGTAGCAATGCGGTTGATGACAGATGTCTCACGAGCACCAACACCAGGAACGCGGGCAGTAGCGTAGTCAAAAAGTTGGCAAAGAGCAATGACTGCGAAGTACAGCGCGGGGAAATAGTGATGAAGGAAGAGCTGACGCTTCATCAGGTAGAAGGGAAAGTAGTGCAGAGCCCAGCCCAGAACTGATGTACCGATCTCGTAGTCGAAGCGTTTGAAGGTAGTGTTGGCATAGTCGTTGCAGCTGCGTTGCCATCGAAGGACAGCAATTGCCTTAAAGACAATCCAGATGGCCACAGCGACGCTGGAGGACCACCAGATGATGGGGTTACCAAGGAGATAAACCTGGGTATGCTGGCGTCCCCAGAAGTTGATACCACGGCGGAGGATAGGCCAAGACTCAGGTCGAGAATCCCAAGCGTGAGAGTCGGTGAGACCGGCGTTGGTTCGCCACATGACCTTCTGGAGCTCCCAAAATTTGCCAAAGAAGCCGGGGTTTCGGTAATTGACTTTCTCAACATCACCCTGCAGTTGGGGATGAGAGTTGCCCTCAATATACCACAAACTGTTTGGCAGAGTGCCTCCACGAGCGCAAGTCACTTCCTGCTGCTCAGAAGCCCAATCAGGAAGCTTGACTTTGTGAGAGAACAGGACACAGCCAGTCATGACATGGACAAGACGGAACTTGCTTTCAATGGTTCGGAGACGCTCCTTGGCGACAGAACCTCGAGTCTTCTTCTTAACAATCTCGACTCGGAAAAGATCGTTGGCATCACCCTCAAATCCTTCGTAACCATAGGCGGAAACTTCGTTTTGCCAGTCAGCCTCAGTGATAGGGGCGCGGACGTCATGCGAATGCAGGCGGCGGTGGGTTGGGCTGTGGTAAAGACGAACAACGGCACCGTCCTTGATGTGAACAGGCTCAGGAAGGGCATCCCAGGCCTTGGTACCGTTGATGGGTTGGCCGTCAATTCCAAGGGGCTGGGTCTGGTTCTCAAGAAGCCAGATATTGTTGTCATCCTTGTGAGGGTACAGTGTAATCTGCTGTTGCTTGCTGCCAGTAGGGTACATAAGAGGGTGAGAGTGCAGATAGCCACCCTGGGTATTGACATGGCGGATAGTGACACGGCTGCCCATCATGACGTCGGCGGGAACGTCCTTCATTCGCTTATTGTTGAGGGTGGCCTGGAACTCGGAGCTCATAAAGCCGTCACCATCTCCAGGGTTCTGGAGGCAGACAAAATGGATGGCGAACATGGCCATGTAGAAAGTCACGGGGATAATGATAAGGCAGAATACTCGAGCCATGAAGTGCTTGGTGAACAGACGCTGTACGTGTGTGAGCTAGAATTGAACCGTCATTCAACGAAAGGTGCTTACCATGGACACATTCTTGTTGTCGCCAAGAAGAACCCAGAGCTGGACGAGAGTGAGGGAGCCAACCCAAGCAATGGTAAAGAGTCCAACCCACTTGATGCTCACGGTGATACCCAGACCGAGACCTGTAAGGACAAGCCAAAACCACCAGCTCAGCTGGAAAGCTTTGGAAGGACCAAGCTCGTGCTGATTGGTAAAGCACGAAAAGGCAAGGACGGTGAAAGCGGTCGCAGCGACGAGGGGAGAATCGAGAAGGATGAGGCGAGCCTGTGTGAGAAGACCGTTTTCTGTATATAGTCAGCTACCAGCAGTTCAAGTGCGCTCCAGGAGACCGAAGACATGTACGAACCAAAGATGATCAAGCCAGCACCCATAGTAGCTGTCATAGTGCGGCACCCAACAGCCTTAAGAGTGAAGAACATGCAAGGAATCAAGAGGATACCGCAGATAGCAGGAAACATTCGCATCGCAACGTAGGGAACTCCAGGCTCAATATAGTCCTTGCCAATTTCCTTGAAGTCAAAGCCACCGTCGAAACCAGCCAGCCATCCGGTGAGAGCGATGAGCATCTTTGCCAGGGGAGGATGGACGTCCATAAAGAACTTGCCCTTGATGTACTTGGTAGCGAAACCACCAAAGCTGTTGCCACACATTAGCGCCTTGATTGTAAAGAGACGCATTGGAGCTGTGGTAAAACTCTAGATAGCTATGGAAACTTACTGGACTTCGTCGAAGACAACGCTTGTGGGCTGGTAGATTTTATAGACGCGGACAGCGGTAGCAAGAACCATAAGAGCCAAGACTACCCAGTAATCGGAAACTGGGAGGAGGAAGACATCGTGATCCTCAACACCTTCGGATTGGTACGAAGTGATCTTGTTCTTGGACTTGTTCTTGGATTTGACGGTGACGGCAATGGGCTGCTGTTTCTCAGTCACAGGCGTTGCAGCCTTGACTGGCGGTTGGGGACTCTTGCCCCTCGTACGAGCCATGGCAGCAGCCGAGTATCAATATAGAATTCGAGTCGAGTCGAGTTGATTCGATCGCGATGGTTTTAATTTCGCCGTTTCGGTGTAACGAGAGTTGATAAAGGAGAGCTAGGGTAAGAAGCGGTGGATGGATTAAATATGCTTCATCGATGACGGGAGAAAACCAATGGAGTAGAAAGGAGAAGTGAAAACAACCCAAAACAAAACCGAACCGCGGACCGCCAAATGATGGATATCAGCGACGGTAGGCGATGCGATAAGCCTGGGAGAAGAATGGACGATGGTGATACGGTTGGGTTGCAAGAAGTAAGAAATAGGTAGGTAAGAAAAAGGGAAGGGGAAAAGAAGAGGGATGAAGCTTCAGGGGATAAGGCGACGTTTAGTCTACACCTATTACCTTATGCGGGCTGAGACTGCAAGAGAATGGAATTGGTGATGGGATGGTTGCGGTACGGTAGGTACGAGCACGACCAAGCGCGTGTCACTCAAAAAATTGTAGCTACAGTGGCCTTTTCGGCTCCAAATGGATTGGATCGTTCCCGGTCCCACCTGTACTGTACTGTACTGTAGGTTCCATCACTTTCACTGTCGGGTCTGTCAGCCCAGCCTGGACCCCTGCAGCGAATCAGACCCGGCCCCTGTCGTGAAGATCCCCTGGCGTCCCCGCTTCACTAGCCCCAGAACAGAGCTTCAGCAGGTGCCATTGGACCTATCGATGTCGATTATTGGCGATAGCTCTTTGATAGCAGCTTGGATGGTTTCAGCTCTTATAAATGTCCATGTTTGTTTGTTTAACACTTGAGTACGGAAAAAAGACCTTTTCTTCTTCTTCTTCTTCTTCTTCTTCTTCTTCTTCGTAATTGCCTCTTGAAAAGCACATCCTCAGGTGTGGCCGTTGCACCAGCCACAAAGGGGTTCTCGTTTTCGCCTGTAGGTACCTAGCTTTAAACAAAGCTAACGCTCGTAGCACACTGCCAGCTTAACCCCTTTTCTAATCTTGGATGGATGGATGGATCTATGGACTAGACTGTAAACAAGTTGCTAGAACTTGAAACGCGTGTTCTAGACCATATCTTTAGTGGCCGGGCATGGATATGTAATTGAAACTTTTCTTTCTAAATGTTCCGTTTAATCACGTTCATTATCGTAAAAGAAACAAGGGCAAAAAAGATCAACTGACTCGATCTCGGGTATCTAAATTCCATCTCCAGAGTGTGTTCGTAATGCATATCCTGCTGCATTTCTCCAATGTTAATCATCACAACACTTGGTGCCCCTAGATTGAAGGTAATCTGCCCATTGTCGAAAACCAGCAATCCAATATGGCACGCCCTCCGGTTTTGCCAATTCTGTCAACGAAGCCTTTCGGGGGGATTCCTTAGTTAACCAATTGTGACCTTGAGCGTCCAAGACATCAGCCATCGACGCAGAGATGATGTTCTGCACCTGTCCATCTACTAGGGAAAATTCCTGCAATGCCTGCATTGCTTCGCTCCATCGTGATAACGCAGCCTCAAACTCCGATCTCATATGTGACAGCTTTGCCAAGATAACATTTACGCGCAGCCTCTCATACTTGAGGAGACTCGCTCGTGACTCAACGTCGACACATATTTCATTCGTCTCTTCGTATCGTTCTTGAGCAAAGAGAGCCTCGGCCAAAGATAGTTCCAGAAGCGATTTACCAGGCAATGGATCTGGTCTCTCGGTTCGCCGTATAATCTCTGCACGGAGATATTCCTCACCAGCCACGGGCTCATCGAGTTCTCGCAAAGTATCGGCAAGATCGCATGTGAGGTCGCGGAGATCTTCGTCGAAAACGAGCTCGCTCGGCATCCGCGATGCTTGGTGTGCTGCCTTGAGAAGCTTCAATGCCTTGTCGAAGTTACCTTGCAAACGCATAACTCTTCCCAGCAGCGAATATTTGCGGAAGCTAAGAATTTTCTCCAACGGTGATGGGTCCGCATCATGGGGATTCCAGTCCTCCAGTAATTTCTGTGCCGTCGAAAGATTTGCAATCTGAATACAGTTTAGAGAGCGTTGGATGATGGCAACGCCAACTTCACACCGTATTCGCTTACTTATAACGGTAGCCGGGTCGTTTAATACAAGATCCTGGAGACTACTGACAGCCTCGTCCATGTTCCCACTCAGGCGACCCAGCACTGCTTTAGTCTGCCCGATGCAAAGGCGGAGATGGGTGTCTTTTAAACGCCCAGCAGCCAACTCCGCTTGGCCAATTGCAAAGTACTTCCAGGCCATATCTGGGAAACGGAAAGCCTCGATGAGTGTAAGCATAAAGTCAGTTCTGGTAGCCGTGGGCAATTCATCGAAGCAGTCTTGAAACATCTCGGCGACATGGTGTAGATGTGGCAAGAATGATCTAACCACAGGGTCTCTTTTGTAATGTCAGTGGTTCGAGCTCGATGGTCTTCGGTTCTGAACTCACGGGAACTCGATATACTTCCAGGGGATGGCTCTGTACGCCACGACCAACGCCTGCTGCCTCCAGAATGGTAGAGTATCTGGAGCCAAGCTTCGATGAACTCGTGCTGACATATCTTCGTTCAAATGATACGTCCCGTCGGAATATCTGAGCACAGCAGCAGATTGACACAGCTCATCAACAGCTTGTCTAAGTCGCTGGGCATCTGATAAGAGGTCCACCAACTCTTGAGCCAGTCCAATCCTGGTCGCATTGACAAGCTCAATCTTTCCCTCGACTGTCCAGCGCTTCCTTGATGTCGATCCGCGTACAAAAAGGTCCAACGGGATTTTTTCGCAGGGCGAGAAGAATGAAAGTAAGACGAGTAATACACTGGCATCTTCGGATCGAGTGGAGCTCTCATCAAACAGAGACTGAGAAGCGGCCTCGAGAGCAGATGCTCTCCATGCTGGCAACTCCATCAAGAACAAATTTATATGGTCTTGACCCGCGCTGAGCAGTTCTCTCAGAATGGGATGTCATGAGAGAAGGCGGGGTTTCCTCAACAGATGTATCGACAGAGTAGCTTTGCGCCGAAAGCCCACTCCTGTTCTGCGGTGTTTTGTTCACTGGGCTGGGGTCAATGAGTACTCGTACTCGTACTTGTATGTAGGTAGGTACGAGACGCTGTGTTCACTGAGGCTGTTGTAAAGATTCCCGAGCAGCCTTCGCGATAGCGGTTTTGAATGCCGAATACCGAAGATGTATTTAAGATACCATACCAGCTCTGATAGGATGTAGGTCGGGGAAAACGGCGACTGCTCCGTGATAGCTGATAACCATGGATACTAGATAGGTAAGTAGGTAATTAGGGGATTTTGAAGTGGAAGCGATTGCGGGGTATCCATAAGGTATTTTAATTCGATAGGGAACTGGAGCGAAGCAATTGGATCTGAAGTCACACGACATAGGTATTGTAAGTACTGTAGCCAAAGAAGTGCACTGCAAATGCGCGTCAAGATAAATTATCTTCAATCCAACTAGACCAGTACCTAAGGTACGTATCCTGCTAACCAGGGGGCAACCAACGTGTGCCATCACCTCGGTACATACCGACCTACCTAAGGTAGGTACTAGATACTAAGATATCAAATGATATGGATGCATCGCTTATGGGAGTTATAGATAGGATTTAGGTACTGAGATTAGGTATCCAGTTGTTTTGTGACTTGTTCAACACCAGTGCCATCTTAATAAGTTGACGTGTGAAACAAAGAAAATGCCGTGGGAATTTAGAAGTTACCTTAGTTCCATGTGATCGCTATGGAGAAATGATCAAATCGGGTCCAGAGCAGCGAGGTCGTCAAAGTTGACCTATCTTAGTACCTAGGTAGGTAGTACATACCTAGGCAGCAAGACCTCGGAACAACTATTTCCCGATGCAGTTTCGCGTTGCTAGAGCGCCTCGAAATTTCCCAGGTCGCCTTCTGAGTGAGTAGCAGCTCCATCCTGTCAGCCTTTTTTTCCAGCGCGTCTTTCAATTCCACTCGCAATGGCAGCCGTAACAACCAACGGCGATTCCGTCGCATCAGTTCTTGACGATATCAAGCCTCCCGCTGGCGTTGTGCTCCCTCCCCGCGAAATTCGCAATGTTCTCGAGAAAACTGCCGGTTACGTAGCGCGCAACGGCGCCGTCTTCGAGGATCGTATTCGCGACAAGGAGCGCTCCAACCCCAAATTCAGCTTTCTCAATCCTTCCGATGCCTACCACCCCTTCTACCAATGGCGACTTGATGAGGTGAAGAGTGGACGAGGTACAGCGATCGCTGCTGGTCGTGCTAACGAACCTGTCGCCGAACCTCCCAAGCCCCAGGGACCTCCGAAACCAGCCGATTTTCAGTTCTCAGCACGAACGCCGCGTATCGCAAGAAAGGATCTGGATGTGATTCAGCTCGCGGCTCTATTTGTCGCAAAGAACGGACGCCAGTTCATGACGCAGTTGGCTCAGCGCGAAGCTGGCAATCCGCAATTTTCATTTCTCATTCCTAACCACACTCTCCACAACTTCTTCCAGCACATTGTCGATCAATACACAACATTATTGCGAGCGAGCGGTCTGGGTGGAGAAGGCGGAAAGCTTCAAGAAGAGCGTGTAAAAGAACTTGAAGCCAACATCAAGGATAAGTTTCTTGTTCTTAGCCGCGCCAGGCAACGAGCTGAGTATGCCAAATATGTCGAGTCTGAACGTCAAAAGAAAGAGGAAGAAGAGGAGAAACAGAAGGAAGAATTCGCTCAGATCGACTGGAGCGACTTCGTTGTCGTTGAAACCATTACTTTTAACGAGGCCGATGACCACGCAAATCTCCCTCCTCCAACCAATCTTTCCGACCTCCAGTATGCATCGCTCGAAGACCGCAACAACGCGTCCATCAACGCTAGCCTCCGGATCGAGGAAGCGATGCCCGACGAAGATACTAGTTACAATGCATATCCTAACCAGCCTGCCGCGTACCCTATTGCGCCTCAGCAACCAGCTTACCAGCCGGCCCAGATGCCACCACCATTGCAGCCATATGCCCCGATTCCACAACAACCGCAACGATCTGCCCAGGAGGAGGAGGAGGAGCGACGTATACAGGAGCGCGCAGAGCAGCAAGCACGCAAGCAGCAGGCCACTGCCGACGCGCGTGGTGGTGCTCCTCCCATGAAGATCAAGGAGAATTATGTGCCACGTGCGGCACAAAAAGCTGCTAACAGACAAGGTGCTCAGATGGCTCTATGCCCTAACTGCAAGCAGCAAATTCCCATGAACGAGCTCGAGGCCCATATGCGAAGTATGTTTCCCACTCTTGCCTGTATAATCACTAAGCTAACCCTTTCATAGTCGAACTTCTCGACCCAAGCTGGAAAGAACAAAAGGCCAAGGCAGACTCGCGCTACGCTTCGACCAATATCTCACATGTTGATGTTGCCAACAACCTCAAGCGTCTTGCTAGCCAGCGCAGCGATGTTTTCGATCCCGTGACTGGACAGGCCCTTTCCGAGGACGAGCTGGCGCGCAGGAAGAAGGCTGCCATTCACAGCTACGATGGTGCTATGGACGCCAAGAGCCAAGCACAACTGGGACACATGCAAAACGTTAACGTCGAGGAGCAGATCCGTGCTATTCACCAAAAGTTCGCTGACAAGAAGTGAAGCACATGGTAGACAGACAGACTGCTGATGCGGACATTACGAGAAAAAGATGATGGCTACCCCCGTCGAACGATTTTGGGATTAGGGCAGTCTTCTATATGTGGATCATGCATAACACTACGTGTCGCAATAGGCGTTGTAGGTTCAGGTTCAAGGTGAGACACTTGGAACATGGCGTTTGACGGTTGTATGGGCTTATACTTGTTTGATTCAGCTCAAATTTTGCATGAGCCTAGGAAATATCCCTTCGAACCCCCGGGCTATTGAACGTGCCTTAATTTCAGCCGACATGCTCGTCGCTCGAAGATAGACGAGAGCCAACACTCTCACCAATACATGGCATGCCGTATCGCCAAGCTGGCGGATGGTTAATATTCTAGGCAGGACCAACAATGCGCATTCCGTTGTAATGATATTCGAGCACAACGCAATATTTTGTACCAATACGAGACAGGGGAAATAATACTTTAGATTATGCAAGTCTGCCACTTGTCTGCAACAATATATATATATAACCAAAAAAAAAAAAAAA